AAGGTCAGGGCAGCAGTGCTGCGTGCTCACACTGTTTTCGTACTTAAAGCGTCGGCCATTGGTCTCAGATGGAGACAAGTTACTAAGCTCAGGTTTGACAGTGTATGCATGCTGGCTGCTCTTGTTTTTATGGACTGATTTTTTCTTATTATGCTGCCATAAAACAGTGTTGTGTCTTCTGACTACAGGCTGACATATGAGCTAAACCTCATTGATCTTTGTTTCCGGTGTATTACTATTGGAAATGGAATGTAGTTTTCCACTGTGGCTTGTGAATGGGTCCGTTTCTCTGTCTGAATGACTTCTCATTGAAAACTAGGATATTGACTATTTTGTCAGGCTTTCAGCTTGCTGTCTGTGAGGGTCTTCATATTTTTTTCTGCAAAGCTGCTGTTAATTAGGTTGGCTAACAATTGTTTGCCCTAGTTAGGGCACTCTCTTTCCAATCACTTCATTTTATTGGAAGCATTGGAAATTGATTCCAAAAGTATTTACTCTGTATTTTCTTGGGAACTGCGATTAGGTTCAGCATCCTTTAGTTTCTAATATCTTCCTCCTTGACATTCTTGAAGGTAAGGGTGACATTTGGCTTTTTTCCCAGTTATTAAGGACTTTCTCTGATTGCCCTGACCTTTAAGGTGACATGCACCAGCCTCAAATTATGTGCACCAGCAACTTAAGCATCCTCAAATGCATCCAGTGCACCTGTGTGTTTTGTTTCTTTTTGTCTTGCTTTTACCAATCTGTTGTAACAGTCCTCACTTGGATCTACCCTGTTTTCCTCATATCCTTAGATTGTACCACCAGAGAGGGACCTGGAATTCTAGGAGCAGACCTTTCAGAAAATATTTCAGTTGTCTTATTAGTAAAATGAGCAGGCTTGTTAAGGAAGGATACTGTAAAGATCAGATGTCTGGTTTCTGCCTTTTGTGCTCCTGGAGATAGAATCACAGAATCACAGAATCGTAGGGGTTGGATGGGACCTCCAGAGATCGAGTCCAACCCCCTGCCAAAGCAGGTTCCCTACAGCAGGTTGCACAAGTAGGTGAAATGCTAGGAATTATTGTTTTCCTTACTCTGCTTCATTCTTTCTTTCACTGCTATTCCACTTTGGCTTTCCTGAGGATTAATATGTGAGGGGCTGCCCCAAATATATTACTGCCTTAGTTGAGAAATAAATTGAGAGACTGAGAGTGCTGATACCAGAGCAAACTGCCTCATAGGAAGATTCACAGATGCAGACTGTCAGACCAAGCACAAATGGCAACAACAAAACAAATCCAGACTTTATTTTTTAAAGGACGTGCTCCTTCTGGCAACAGTATTTTGGGAAAATTGTATTAATGAGAGAGTAGATTAATCACTGAAGGGAAGGAAGTCTGGTGGGATAACATGCCTAAGCACAAGATCTCACACTATATGCTTAGGATACTTTTTCTGTAAGGTTCTTCAGAACTATTCCACCCCACGTTCTCTTGGCAAAAGCCTCTGCATCCTTGTGTTCCTTACTAAACAGCTAATGAACTGCTTTCAAGCCTTCACAGTAATCACACAGACTTGAAGGAAAAAGGAGAAAATAAGATTATCTTCAAACAGAATTCTGTAGAGTTTCCTGAGGTTGGCACTGGAAGCTTTTGTGGGAGAGGTCAGATGTGCAGCTCTGCTGACTTCAGCTCATGATGGCACAGGCACCAGAGTCAGAAAAGGCTTTAGTATTTTCTCAGGATGAAAATTCTGCAGCTGATGCTCCTCATCAAGTTGTACTCCAGTTTCAAAACACAAGCTTCACAGCCCAACTTATGCTCATCTCCCACTTCATTTTTAACTTTTCTTTCTCACTACTTTTATTTTTTGGGAACTTCAAAACACTGAGTGTTGCACTGAGAAAGCAGACTGTAATTGCAGCTTCTCTCCTCGTTTCTTTGGTTCTCTTTTCTATTTTGCAGAGGTGAAGCTCATTACCAGTAGTGCTCACCTCATTGATTTTGGCTCTTTATCTTCTCTTACCCAGTGGTTGTGAGTGACTGTTGATTTTCAATCTTAGATGAAAAAGAAGATACCTTCTACATCACACTCCCCTGGTACTCAGCGCATTAAAAGGAGTGTATTCTCCTTTTGTTTGGGTCTGCACTTAAAAGTTCAAACCCACGTGCTTCTGTTGCTAACTCACTGCCAGTGTTTCTCTCCCAAAGCAAAGTCTGTATATCCTGATAATTAACAAGCATCCTTCTCTGCGAATGTGGAGTTGTTCTCCCAGTTGTGCCAATCAAGGGTTAATCAGGATGGCTGGGATTCTACCGACAGCTTGGACAATGCCAGCAGAGCAGTACAGCTTAGGTAGCAGTGCTTAGGTCATGGTATAAATGAGTATTTACTTCTTAAATTGTGCCTGGGTAGATGTTATCCCAAAGGATTAGCAGTGGATACTATCAAGAAATGTATGTAAACAGGTGCGTGGCCTGAAACACATGAATGAGAATACAGATAAATGTGAGGATTACATCTAAGCAGCTAACTGTTATCTGGAAATACACATTTGTAAACTGAAAACCTTTCATTTTAGAGAGGTTCATAATTTGCCCTTGAGAGTGAGATTTTAGCTAAGTTTTAAGTTTGAACTGTACTGCTGAAATATTTGATCTCCTCATTACAGGATTAATCAATTATTTGATTTTTTTTCAAAGCCCCAGAAGCAAAACCAAATCTCTTTCTATATTTCTTCTTTAGCCACTCTTTTCTAGCATTGCTAACTAATTTACATTTTTCTGTGCTTTAAAATTAATTTCCCCTGTGTTCTACCCTATTTTTAACTGTTCAATATTAATCCTGCTAAGGTGATTGCTAAGGTAAATCTGGAGAATCAGATGTGACAGCAAATGTTTTTCAAATAGTTTACAAAGCCAGTTACCTTGTATTGGAAAACAACTTCTAATACAAGATGTTGGTTTTTTCCCCCGCATCTCTTGATCATACGGTCAAGAACACATGCAGATATTGGTGGCTGAAAAGCTTTACATGTGTGTGTACATATATATATATGTAGATATTTCTGCTAGATTGAAACTGCACTACCAAAATTCTGCCATGGTCACTCAACATCACCCGTGTTTTGGAGTATCATTTCACCATTTACCCTTTAGTTCATATTAAATGCAACTGAGCTGAAATTGCTAGCTAGAAGTCCCTCAGCTTTTCGCAGCATTGTGGGTGGATTCCCAAGATTCGTATTGCGAAAGGAGTTTAAACACAAACACTTGTAATTTTACCATTTCAGTCCTGATGCTCTCGCCTGTTTGAGAGTAAAGTGTTTAGAAAAAAGATGCTGGGGAAAAAAAAAAGTGTCAGGCATAAAGGAACAAATACAAGAAAGCCAGATTTCTGAGGCATTTAACTTCCCCTGGTGTTAGGATTTGAAGGTACTACTACTGTGTCTATCATTGTGTATTATTATCATAGATGTAACAGTCTGTGGTTAAATATGCATTCTAGGATGCAGGACATTAAATCAAAGTAATCAAAAGCATATTCCTGAAACCAAGGAAGCAGAAAACCCACTCATCTTAAAAACAAAACCACAGCTTCCTAGTGGGGGATAGCATAGTTTCCTTCATGAAATAAGCAGAGTATACAGCGTTTGTTTGTTTGAAGAATTGCAGCTTGAAACAATTAGCTTTAGCATTTTTTTTTTCTTAGCTTTTTTTGTTCTGTTTTTGTTTGACATTCATGTAAGCTACCAAAGGTTTAATCTAGCCACTTCATCTTCTGCATCTCGTGCCTCATTCGGTACAGTGAACGCAGCTCCAACGCAGGACAGGCTGAGAGCTGCGGCTGTGCAGCCCGGAGAAGAGAAGGCTCTGCCATGACCTGAGGGCAGCCTGTCAGTATGGAAAGGGGAGCTACAGGAAAAAAGGGGACAGACTCTTTAGCAGGGCTTGTGGTGACAGAACCACAAGGGGAAATGGCTACAAGAGGGTAGCTTTAAGTTGGATATAAGGAAAAAGTCCTTTACAGTGAGGGTGGCGAGGCATTGGAAGAGGTTGCACAGAATTGTTGTGGATGCCCCATCCCTGCAGATGTTCAAGGCTAGGCTGGCTCAGGCCCTGGGCAACCTGATCTAGCTGTGGTGTCCCTGTGCACTGCAGGGGAGTTGGACTAGATGACCCTCACAAGTCCCTTCCAACTCTGAGGATTCTATGTGTTGTATTTTGAAACAGATGCTAAGAAATGATTCCATGATTCTGTAAGTGGGCACCATGGTGATGGGTTGACGGTTGGACTTGATGAGGTCAAGGTTTTTCCAACTGTGACAATTCTGTGATTCTGTGTGTTAAATTTGGAAGAATTACTTAACCTTAAGCTGCAGGAAATAATATTTTAATTTCTGTCCTGTTTTTGTTTCAGACCTCCTCCATGAGTGGCACTTTAAGATCTGCCAATACTCTTCCAAACCGAAGACTTTTTCCCTATGAACAATGTAGGTACCAAGTATCAAAATCATTAATTTGTGTCTCTTTTATAAAAGGCTGGATTTGTTCTTATGGTTCGTACATATATCTATATAGATATATAGATACATATATATATATAAGAAATTAGAAGCAGCTGTTATATTTCAGATCTTTGGTTAGCATCTCTAAAGGGAATCTGAAACTTTCCAATCATATTGTGGCCATATAGAGGCTGGAACGTTTATTCTATGATTTGATTACAGCAGTTTACACCACAAGCTTACAGAACCAGCAAAGCAAATATATAAAACTTCATATTTTTACTTAAAAAGATCATAAGGTTAAAGAATGTGCTAGTATTGCATGCCAAAACTGCCAGCCTCACAAATGATCAAGTTATACATTAGAGCATGAAATCGGGGGTCAAAATTTAAAAATTCCATAAACCACATATGGCCAAACCTTCCAGCACTCCAAAGCAGGAATTAGGGTTTTAAAAGCTGTTTTGTAACGTAAGTTGAATGATATGAATAAACTTTCTGCAAAGTTGTAACGGACCTTTGGATGTGCCATTTTGTAATTATGATTCTATTTAACCAGAACTTGACATAAAATATTCATCTCCCTATCTGTAGCTTTTTTTTTTTTTTTTTTTTTTTGCCTTTTTTTGGTCTATGTGGACAAAAAACAATTATCTGAATAAGGAAAATTAGAAAGAGAAGGTTATATACTTAGAAGATACTTGTCAGAAGATCTCACTATGGTAATAAGGAGGGGTTGGTCAAGATGGTAGATTGCTGAAAGATAAACATTTCAGATAGTTGGCTTTGCAAATAGTACAATTTGAAGAAATAGAAATAAATGCTCTTGCTTTAAAAATGCCTGTGTCACGTGCAAATACTAGAAAGGGAAGCAGGAAGAAAGAAGGAAAAAAAAGCTTATGGTGGAAGTAAAGCTCGATGGAGCTTTGAGCCAGTGCTGAAATAAATGAACTCAACGTTTACATATTTATTAGTGGAATTGGTGATGAAAGACAAAGTGAATTAAAATACAAAGCAAAAGACAGACCTAGTGCAGTGCAGGTTATCATAATGGGTTACTACAAATTAACTAGTATTAACTAGAGAAGAAACTAATTACAAAAGGCACAAAATACTCATTATACCAACCTTTCAAATCATCAGCTGCTTTATTAACAGAAATGAAGAGACAGTACAGACACCATACTCCTGGAATCTTTTGGTTCTGATAAAAACTGAGGTAAGTTGTGTAGGAACACAACTGAGAGAACTGTACTTGCTGAGGCAGTACATCTCAGCTGCAGGTCAGTGCAAGAAAGGATGGTTTGAAGTTACAGGAATAATGAACCCCCATGACCATCCAGAGAAATATAGCTAAAAGTGTCATTAAAAATGCAAATACCTCTACCATTCTCAGGCTGTCCCTCCCAGTCTCAGGTACTTGTCAAGACAAATTACCAGGTCACACTTCCTTAAAGTTTTTGTTGCACAGCGCTGTCTTGTACCTAGAAGTAATGTGTATGATGATCATCCACTTCCTTCTCAGGAGTTAAGCCTTTAGTTTTCAGATAGATAATGTTTCAGATGAAAACACACTTCACTTTGCTTCAATTCAGGTAAACTGGCTAAAGGAAATTCTTTAGTTAAGGGATCTGTCTGTTCTATTATGCTGGCCAAAGCTGGGCACAAACCATTTTCTCAGCACTGATTTAACAGGTCAGACTGAGCTGGCTACTCTGCAAGCACAGCTAGCATGCTTCTAGAGTTCTCACACAGAACTCTAATAATGCACGTACAAATCAGATATCTTCCATCTCACACAACTATAATGCTGCAATAAACTACTTCTGCTTCACGACGACTACAAAAATTGTGGTATGCCTCAAGTGTAGAAAGGAACTCTTGCCCAGGCTAAGGTGCAGATTTTAACAGCAGCTTGTTTGAAATACTGGAGTTTTAAAAACTTAACTTAAACATGTCTTCCTTAGTATTTCTGTTAAGTACTAATTTTACGCAAAACATTTACTTTAGTCACTATATAAGATTGTATTTCCTATCATGGCATTTTCTGGCAAATAAAATGTTTCTAAGTTTTTACTTCAGTCTTAATATTTACTGATGTCAACCAGCAACTCTCTTTGGAAACGTGACCTCAGCTATAGGCTACTAATGTGAAACTAACCTGAAAGATACTGAGAAATATGATGCCTATTTCTAAGATTTTTTGACTTTGCTGCCTGACAGATGGTGGTTGTTGTACTGTATCCTGTAAGAGTTTAATGCAGGTAATTCATAGACTTTTTCTCCGGACTGCACGATGATCACTACATTTTTTAAATGAACTAGTGTTCTAGAATACTAATAGTAAAGGCAAATGCAGACAAAGTTACTTTTGTAGAGTTTTTTAACATTACAAGGTTTTGTATTTCTAACATTATTTAATCTCTTAAAGCCTCAGTGATGTGCTACGAAGTCTGAAATTTAGTTCTGTTTTCGGACCGTAGCATTCTGGGAAACAGAACAGCCAACAGAAAAGGGAAAGGGGCATTAACAACTTTTATTAGCCTCTTCCACGACTTCCCATGGTTGACATTGCTGGAAAAAACCACCACCCAACCAGCATCTATGGAGAGTAGTTAATAGACTCAGCCGACTTACTGAAAAGTTACTTTCAAGGAAACACTTCAGAAAGTCTCGTAACAAAGTAAGACCTGAGACTTGAGTTTTCTCTTATGGCAGAGAAGCACAAGGAGCTCATCCTCTGATGTAAACATCAAGAACTTCTCTTCTAACACTTGAGTGTATAGCTGAGGCCCAGCCCAACAGCCACACCTGCTACAGGGGAAGAACTGAAGAATGTACCCCTTCTGTGAAGGGGGGAAATAAGATCAAAAGACAAATCTAAACAATCTTAGCTGTTTTCAGATACAAAACAGGAATGCCCATTCCAAAGAGCGTCAGCAGCATGAATCAGTTGCAGAACAGAACACACATATTTTGGTATTTGGCTTGTTCATTGTACTAGTAGAAAGTACAGTTTACACTTACCTGAAATGGCTACAGATTAGTCTCCTCAAGGTCTCTATGAAAGTTTTGCTGTGTAACATGTTGAAGAACAGAACCATTTCCTCCTTTATAACATTAACGAAGATTTCACATGTAAAGTTAGTCCTTGTAAAGCATCAGAAGGTAAATATTTTAGCATTTTATCAGATGTATACCTATATCAAGCTCATTGCTCTAGTTAAGTATACTTTGGTTTTCATCACAATTAGATTCCCTTGAGTAAATAACTGTCTCAGTGACGCTCTGGTTAGACAGCTGTCCTGTACTGCACATTTGAGGAAATGCAGAACTGATCTGACCAAACCAATCATTCATTTTGATAGATTTTTGTGGGTTTTTCAGTACTTACTTTTTCAAACTCTCCCCATCCCCCAAAAGGCTGTAGCTTGTAAGGCAGGCACGTTCCTTTATGTTTAAATGATATTCCCACACCTTCCCTATCATTCACCCTCAACATGTAGTGTTTTAGAAGCAGGCATAGTTCTAAGAAATTTTTCAATACGTGCAACTGATCTTCATTGGCATCAGTGTAAATGAATGAAAAACACAAGTAATTGCTGGACTGTTTCTATGGACAAAGAACTACAATCACTACAACTTTATTTATAAACTACCATTCTAGAATGCTAAATAGTCAAGACAAATTCAGACAAAGTTAGGTTAGTAAGATTTCTCGACGTCCTTGAAGAGATTAGTCTATTCGGTAAGAAAATACTATACATACATGCCCAGCAGTGCTGTGCAGCATTTTTTAGGAATTGTTAGGAAACAAACAAAAAATACCAAACAAAAAAACCCCACAAAATTTAGCAAGGTGGGACTGCCCAGGCAGGAACATGGCACTTGCATGTAATAAAGCAGATATTTACAGTAAGCACAATACAGCAATTTATTTAGATGTTTAAATGAAGAATACAAAGGGAAATAAAGATCACAAAATTATACATACTACAACAGTGTGTCATATATTAGATGGTATAAATGAATACAACACCTTGTTGGTGTTAACTAAAGATAAAACTAAATATCCAAAACACAGCACTGTTGTTTTAAGTGTGCTGCTTCAACACAATACACTTTTATACAGATCTAAAAGGTGTCAAAATTAGTAGCTGCAAACTTGTTTCTTGCATGTGATTTTTCATCTTTAGCTTAAAAGATTTCAGAAAATGGCTCTGAAATACGTTTGTCATCAGTTGTAATGTCAAGGATATTCAGAACAAGAAAATTCTATAATACAATAAGAGTCCAGATATATTTTTTTATGGTGCTGGCCTCTGTTTTCGAGATTGTACAAGGTTATGTGCAAAAACTAAGTTTGTCAAAATTCATACTATAGCAGTTTCAAGCTTTTGCTAGGTAAACTAAATACAGCATTTATTACACAGCAGGGCAACACTAAAAAAGAGAAACAAATCTATGATGGGTACACAAGAACAATTTCATAAGCTTCACTTGAATAGGTCTAAAAGACTGTACAAATATACATTTCAACTATTCAGAATGATACATGAAAAAAATCAATTCCCCCATAGTCTACTATACACGTTGAACTGGTAGCTTGTATGTTGGCCCTACACACTACCACGTGAAAAAGGGTAATGTTTAAAAAGACATACAACTGAACATGTACAAGAGTGAAATAAATGGTGAAAATGCAGATAAAATAAACCTCTGCTTTTCTCTGTGTGCATTCTTGAGCCACCAGCTTATCCGTTTTCACATTAAATTACTGTGCTCATCCCAGCAAGTACTCTCAAGCAAGATTAGCCAACGGCATCCTTAACCACTGGAGTAACAGTGGCCATGAACACCACTCACCGTGACCTAGCACTTGGAAGGCAGTACCAGTCAGAATTTAAGCTTAGCAGTCATACTGAAATGAAAGTGTTTAGACAGTTGTAGATCGGATCATATTACTGACACTTCTGAATCGAGGAGCTTATGCTTGCTGACTGCTCAGCTCCACACCAGATAAGCTGCCATGCATTGGTTCTGCTACCCCATCAGTCACACTGTCAAACTGATCTCCATCCTCACTGTCAATTGTGCTATTCTGCCATTCCATCTGCTGATTTGACAAGCTCTCCTCAATCTCTGATGTATTTTTCCACTGCGACTGGTCCTTAGCCCAGAACTCTTCTACTTTTCCATAGGAACGATTCTTCCACTTTGACTGCTCTTCATCACTCTCAGACCCACCTCCTTTTGTCTCTGCAGTCGGTTTGCTGCTACCAACATCTTCGCTTTGTGAGGATTCATCCGTCCACACTTCTGGTTTTACTTCTGATGTGTTATCTTCAAAATCAGAAACTTGCTGAGAACCAGGCCCACTTTCAGACTGCGAAGCTCCATCTTTCCATTCAACAGCATCATCTTGATCCTCCTGATAACCTTCACTATCTGAAACATCACCAACCAGTTTTCTCTGCTCTTCGGCAGAAATAATCTCCTCATATTTAGAGCTTTCTTCTTGTTTTTGATCAGACTTTTCTGGAGATGGTAATGTACTTTCTTCAATGATTTCCTTGGATATGCCATCCTCTGGGTTCTCTGCTATGCTATCAGGAGAAGCTTTCTCACCAATGTCAGAAATATGTGGACCAAATGGACTACTGCTTTCATTGTATTCTTCTTCTATATTCTCATAGCTGTCTGATGAACTTTCATTGTCTTTTTCTATGTTTATTTTTTTATCAACAGTCTTACTAACATTAACTCTGGAATTCTTTTCATCATGGTTTTCAAACAGCCATTCAGCATCAAAATCCATTTCATGTTTAACTTTGTTTAATTCTTTCATATTGAAACCAAGCAGCACACCAGGTTTGTATTTTTCACAATCTCTGACACATTTTTTCCTTTTGTTGCTGAAGTGAGATGCAATATCAGATTTCCATAGCCACAAACTGGCAGCCAGCTTTTCAATTTCTCTCCTAGTTGGATATGGTTGCTTATTAAAATATTTTGTGAGAAATGTTTTCCTGGCTTCGTAGGAATCATCTTCATGACCCTTGGGGTCCAATGCTAGAACTACCGGTTCTTCAGGCTTTTCCTCAAAGGCAGAGGGGGAGTCATCATCATCCATTTTCCTCCTCTTCATCAGAGAGAATTCCATGTGTTCATAAGTACGTTTTACAGGTGCTACACCTGCAGACTGACTTAGCCGAGATGATGAAGTACCTTTGTCCTGGCCATTCTGAGTCTTCCCAACACCTCTGCAGTGAACAAGGTGCAACGTTATAGTTGAGGCAGTCATGTTACTGGTATACACGCCAAGGCAATGAATGCATTTGTAGGTTAGTTTTTTCTCAACTGGATGAACCGTCTGAATAACTTGATGCCTCTCCCGTAGATGATGTGCAAGTGCATCAGAGATGGGTCCTTTTAGGATTGAAAAGCACAGAGGACAGAGAGTTTTCCCCACATCTTTCTTGTAGGGAACTGCTGCTTGTGGAGAACTTTTCACGGGTACATCAGACTTGTCCTGGATTTTCGGCTGTGGTTTTGGGGGAACTGGAGGTGTATTCTGAGCATGATAAGCTACAGATTCAGCAGGAGCATCCCTCAGGTTGTAGGTCGTTACAAGAAGATGTATATTTGTGAGACTACCCTGCTGCAGCGTCAAATCAAACGTTAAAGTGGAATCAGTTTTAGGTCCCATTTCTTCATCAACATGAACCATTCGCATATGAGCAGCCATCTTTTCAACATCATTGAAGGTTGAACGGCAATACGGACAAGACAAACCATGTATTAACATATGATTAAGCAATGTATCAGTGGGTAAATAGCGATTACAGTATAGACATTTGCTAGTGAAATTGTGTATTTTCATTATATAGTTAGCTACTGCAGGCACCTTTTCAGCCTTGTGCTCCTTTTCAAAGTGAACACTATACACATTTTCAGGAAACAGCTCATTACAGATTGTACAGATTTTCCACTTTTGTGTGGATGATGTATTGACAGAAGAAGGACCTGTAGCAGCTACAGGCGATTTTGAGCCAGACTGACCTAATACTCTTGAAGCTGCCTGTGACTGAGATAACGACGTTTGTTTCAACTGAGCTGATGACAAAGAAGTTGAGTTGGCAGACTGAAGAGAGTATCTCGCTGAGGCCTGAGATCTCTGTTCCCCAAGAGTATAAGGCCTTCCATTTCCACTTGAGAACTGTTTCATTGTTTGAGATTGCTGTGGAATAGAAACTGGTGCAGTACCACTTAAGCTCAGCCTTCCCCCTGGCTGACCAACATAACTTGGTGGTACTGATTTGACTCCATAATTGTTTTGCTGTAAGTGAACATTTGACATCATATTCACTCCTGCAGAATTTAATGTAGGCTTTGGTATAGTGAGTCTGTTCATCATCTGTTGTGATGAAAGAGATCGAACGCTCCCAGGGGAAAGGGGACCCATCCTCTGAGGGAGTCCCATAGGCTTCTTGTCCTGTGGTTTTGGAGCTATTAGCATCAAAGGTTTAGATCTTGGAACCACTACATTAGTGTGACCTATCATCGCTGTTACCTGATACCCTATGCGTTCGTGGTCTTCAATAACGTGCTGTACTAAAGCTTCATATGATTTCGGCATAAAAAGGCATCGTTTGCAATGAATACTACCCTCTTCCCGGGTACTGGAACTTAATGGAACTGCACCATTGAGTGACTTTTCACCTCCCTTCGCTACGTAAGGAGCAGCTACGTGTTGAAAATGTTCCCTGTAAATGTGCTTTCTAACAATTTCATAGAGCGGATCTCGGTAAGTGCACTTCTTACAGTAATAAACAGCTTGTTCTACACTGTCAGCCTGCTTAGGTTTAAGGCTATCATGCTTGTTTTTATCTTTAAAAGTGCTGATGCCTCCACTTGGTGTATTGGCATTTGGAGCATGAAATATTTTAATGTGCGTTTCCAAAGTCTTTTTGTCCGCATTGAAAGTACAGTATGGACAATTAAGGAGAATCCGATTTTCAAAGTCTTCGCTATGGACATTCCGGAAGTGGCTTTTGTATGCTGAAAAGAACTTCGAGGAAAATGGACATGCACTGCAGCAAAAGGGCTTTGTCCGATAGTCCTTAAAACAAAGAACAAAGCAGAAACTGAATATGGAAAAGCAGTTTTTGGAAAAAGACTCTCTCTGAACTTCTCTGAACAACTAAAGTCTCGAGACCCAACAATCTCCAATCTTTAGATCAATTTATTTTCTGCAATTCTTGGCCACAGATGAAGTCCTATGTTTATCATCTGAACACACACAAGGCAATGACAGCCAATTTAAAAGGTCCCTCAAGAGTCTGGCCAAGTCCTCAGCATTCAAGGATAAAGCATAAATATTTCTTCCACCAGTCAACAGAAGCTGTGTTCCCTGCAGCTGAGCATGCAAACATTCACCATTATCTCATTATTTTGGAAAAGGGAAGCATGACTGTTGGTGTAGAATGAGACTGCATCCAGAAGACAGGAGTTATTTTCCTTTGGTTCTGACAAATATTTATAGAGATAGCTAACACTTCACATCCATTCTGTTTAAAAGTCCTAATCAGTTACCAACTTTAAGATAAAAAATACTCTTCAAAAGTTACATACTAAGGCCAGACAATCCCTTAAAGCAACCACATTTTCTTTCAGATCAAAGCACAATCCTGATTTTTAAAACAATAATGGATCAGGGGAATTAAAAAAAAAAAAAGGGGGTACTTGAAAGCTCCACACTTGCCTACTTTCCCTGCTGATGGCAGTTCTTATCCACTGTTTTAGAAGAACTGAAATTATGCTGGCCTCAGAGACAGCCACAAGCAACTTGTCATTTCAGATGAGACAAGACATGAATTTCACACAATTACAATCATTCATAATGTGTGTCAAAGCAAGTCTCGTCCATCAAGTTACACAAAGAGCATTTAAAATAGCTGGAGAGTTGTACTCCCCCCTTGCACACGTAAGCAGATATGTTTCTGTCCACCTTCTGAAACCTCAGCTATCTCACAGGCTGGAGGCAAGATGCAATAAAAACTAAACATAGTTGTCTCCTTTTATATAGTAAGGTCTTTTTTTTTTTTTTTTTAATTCTGGGATTAACTAGGAAAAAATGCACAGCAGTATATTTTATGAAACATAATAAAAGGAATATTTTTAGGTGGATTCCTAGCATCTCAGGTTTTTCAGATCCTGCAAGTGGGCTTATTTTGTACAGATTTCTCACCTTCTCACTGTTCTGTAAGTGCTGGTATTAGTCTATGATGGTAGAGGCTACTGCAATCCACACCTTAATACACTGTCTTAACACGTTAAATCAGTAATGTCAAATAAATCACTGTAATAGAAACATTCCCTCCTTCCACTTTCAGCTTGGTTCAAATCTCCTTTATCACCGACTCAACATCTAAAAAATAAAACTGCCAGCATCACTTCATCCTCTGTACAGAGCTATATATCCCAATAAACAAAACCTCAGACTCAGGTTAGGAGAATCCTCACATGACACACAGCTACAGCTGTGAAGAGAGTGGTAGTTAAATCTGTTCATTTATAGTTTTTCTAAAATGTTGCTAACAAAAATGGTAACAAAATTACTACAAACTACAGAATTGGTGATCCTTTGATTGGAAGACAGATGGAACTGTGTTAAGCTTGATAACGGATGGCCTTTTATTATGTAGCTGACAGGGTAAGATATTCTGACAAGTCATTTCTCCAATATTTTGCTATCAGCACTTTGTAAAATAAAAACTGAGATTATTGCTTCTGAAATAATAAAACCTTTTTCTGTCCGTTAAAGCAAAGACAATTGATCAGAGGGTAAAATCACAGGAAAAGCTCCTGGCACATTTGTGAAATGCCCCTTAATATGAACTATCTTCAGGGTTTGATGTATCAATATAAACCGTTACCAACCTGATTTTTCGTAAGTGATGGGTCCCACAATCCTACATCTTCCCATGTAGTGTTTTTCAAATAAAAGTCATTAGGTTCAAACTGTTTAAAATCCTGGAGAAGGGGAAGATGGGAAGAGAGCACAGACAATCAAAACCCAGACCAACTGCTCCCTTAAGCAACTCTTGTAAGCATTCATGCAGTCCTCTCACTCACATGCTGCTGCATGTTTAAACGCATTATTTGGAGGTGAAAAATTTGTGAACTCTCTCAATAACAAGAACTATTTTCAACATACGTTCTGCTAATAAACACAAGACTGTCATTAAATACCTGCCCCGTCTTCAAAGCAGTCCCTGATACCGACAGCTGAAGAGCGATACATTAAAAATCATAAATTCTGTACCACAAACTTGGTGGTGCTAGTTGTTTTTTTAAAATGTTGTTGGTTTTGTTGTTTGTTTTTAAATGTATTTCACAGAGGAATTTAGATCCAAGTTTGACATGCATGGTGTCTAAGTAGCCCAATTCCTATTAAAAATAAATAACTACTCTTTACTTTGTCTTGGGCATTAGCAGCACACACTGACTCAAAGGTGGTACTTCCACTGAAATCAGCACTTCAAAGCAATGCTGTCCCTATTCACAACTTTACCCTTAAAAACCAAATGTGTCCACAGATTTCCTAAACGGGGAGAACAAGTATTTCTCTTTCCCTTGAAGTATCTCACTTAAATCCTCCTTAAAAAGATACTAATGAAATACAAAAGCAAAGTCATGGTCTGGTGGGTACTTTGAACAGTCCAGAGGTATGACCTGACCTACCAAATGCTGTGTTCAGGAAAGAAAGAGCATTTTTTAGTGAACAGTTACGCCAAGCTTGTCCAACAGAGTAGCACAAATACCTTTTCCTTCTAGGAACTAACACACGTATATAAGTAGCTTGTTAAATTGATGACCTATATTTCAGCACCAACAAACATTCCATGAAAATCTCAGGATCTTCTGTCCCACAGGAACACCCTGCACCACACCATCTTGATTTATTCCTACATGTCCAGTTAGCAATCGTTATACTTTGGAGCCAAACACAAAGGACAACCTACCTTCAATATACATCAAGTCACTCATAAATAGCCTGAGGTCTATCTCATCTCCAGCAGACTTTCTAAGAAGTGTTTGTAGCACATTTTAGCTCAAGTTATTAATTCACACTTAGTATAGAACTTCAAAAAAACAGTGCAATAAAAAACAGGTAGCAATGCCTGAACAGCAAAGCTCAAACAGAATCCCAGAGTCACTTTCAGAAGCTGATGAGAACAGGAGTGAGGTGTGGGATCAGGGTACAGAAAATTCCAGAAACATCCTTCGAAACTTACAGGAAGAATTCAATGGTTCACAAAGCAGGAAAAAAACCAAACAACCGAGACCTCACTTTTCCACTAATGTTTGAGCATTTCAGCTCTGAAGCACTTGAGAGGTATCATACTTACTTCTATATGTTCTTTACAGTATTCCAAACCAATGTCACTAAGTATTTTTTTCACAGTTTTCCGGGCCTTTCTTAAACTGCCAAGGTTGTTGACAGGAAGTTGGAACATAGTTTCTATTGAAAAACAAAGTAAGAGAAGAGGTTTAAGTCACATGTGCTTTGTCTGATGAAGAGCTGCATTTAATTATTAGTAACTTTCTCTCTTGTTTTCCCCATAACTAAAAGTCTAAATCTTTAAGATACGTGGATTCTTAGATTCTACTGTTAGCACTCAGGTTTCTTCCACATGCCAATAAGTGGCCTTATTTCACATATACAGCAGTTCTGTCTGCATGCTGCTACCATTACACTAAGCACTTCCTGAGCTACAGAACCATCATCAACTCATCTGCACTTCAGGAAGGTGCAAACCAGCAGAAATGCAGGAGTCTTTGGCAATATACACTTCTTCTGGAAGAGGCAGGGGAGCCTGCAATGAACAGGCAGGCTCTTCCTCAAAGCAAAGCAGAGTGTGATCTTGTTCACTAGGCTTTAGTGCTCTACTGTCTGTTGGATAAAAAATATCATCCCAGAAGATTAAAGCTGAATTTCTATCATTAATATTCCTGGGAGCTAATTCTTGCTTTATTAGAACACTTTTTTTTCTTATCAACTAATTAATCACTACAGGGCCAGAGAATGCCCTACAACAACTAAAAATTGGCTTCTTGGATGGAAGAAGTCTAAGTTCAGAATAAGCAGAAACTTAAAACCATTAAAGAAGTTCAGTTAGAAAAACAAAAATCTCTCATCATGAGATGAAGGGCAGTCTCTAAGCTACAAGGAACTTACCACAGAATTTTTTCAAGTAAAAAGGATGGGGTTGTGACTCCAATCAAACACAACCCTGCTATATTCCCTGTCCTGCACAGTCCTGCGTACGCACCAGGCTTTGTGTGTTCATTCTCCTACCAACTTTTACTAGGTAATGCTGTAACACAGCCACTAGTGACTTACTATTCCATGACTGTTACCACTACTGCTTACTGTCAGAAACAGACAAAAGTGACAGGGCTAACACGAACCCATCAGCTTCACAATCAGCAAGTGCTGTGTGCCACTAAGCTCTCATCTCCTCCGATTCAACTAATTCAGAAACAGCTCTTGAGTAAGAGAAGCAAGCTGATCATAATATTTAGGATTGATTTCTAATTTGTAGCCATGATATGAAGAAGAAACAATATTAAATTTATATAAGGGTCTACAGAACATTTTCAGAAATACCAAACCAACCCTGATCGTTAAACACTGCGGTGTGTGTGAGCCAGCCACCACCACCCGCTGTCAGAAGGAAATACAGCTGCATGGAACACTGTGTACACAAAAACTAGGAAACCAAAGAAAAGCGTTGACTTAGTCCATGAATCTCAGGTCTCCAAATTTCTCAGTTAAATTACCTCCAGCAGAGACATTGCTCAGAGACCTCACACAAAGTCGCTAACGATAGTAATTTAAAAAAATCATACAGGCCAGGAAACAATTACTTCAACATTACATATTAATTCCCTCCAAGTAAGATTTGTTATAAGAATGGAGTATAAGCACAGTGTATTTACCTGACCTGAATTCTAAATGCAAGCACACTAATGTCTGTGACTGTAGAGGTGTTTCAGCTAGCATTCCTCTCTACTCTCAATTAAAAGGATTGGAATTAGAAAAAAAAAACTATGATTTAGTTAATGTGAAAAGTAGTTGCTGTCTGTATGTTATCTGGAACCTTTCATTTGAGATAAACTCAAACCACTCTACAGATACGAAGAATTAGCATTCTGGTGAAATACTTCACATGCAGAGACGTTATCAGCCTGGTAACTCATCTGCCACGTTGGAGATAAGAACCCTAACCCAGCTATGAAGAGCACTTCCACAGGTATCCTCTGCCTTCTCAGAGATGGCGAGGATTAAACAGAACACAACAGAAAATTACACTCTCTTACCAGTTACTGCCTCTAAAGACACTGAACGAAAGCCATGAAACACTGTTTTTGTCACGCTGTGTTCACTTCTCTCTGTACACCTTTATAATCAAGGATCTTATCTGCAATTATAAAAAATATCCAGGCCAAATACATTCTCCCTCACGATGCTGGAGAGAATGTTGTCATTTGGGTAATTAGATTGATTCATGTCATCCTTTCAGAATGCTACTCACTCCTGGAAACTTTTGGAAACACTCAAGGAAACTTTTTTCATCCTCATGAAGGACTAGGAAACAAGGTTTGAATCTGAATCTCTAACTTATTTAGTTTTGAAAGCTGACAAAGGCAAACCAGTTACTTCATTATGAACTGCATCCGACTTTATGGCTCCGTTATCAGATGTTCTGAGAATATTCATATTACCCCCTTGCTCTTTCTTCTCTCGCAAGATCCATTTCTAAAGGCACACACTGAAGAGAATTAGGAAAAACACTAAACATGCATAAAATGTTATAGCTCCGGACTGTGCATTAAGCTTTGGTAAGCAACAACAGAACGTGCCAAGCCCTGCCCTACTTCTCTGCCCATCCTTGTGCCTGTGCTGTGGTTATTCAGTTTTACTGCATAGGCACCTCTGGACAAAGGCTATTTCCTGGTAAAATAATAATAACACCATTTATGACAAAGTATAAATGCATAAATGGTGAAAAAGCTTTTGAGAATAACAATGGATATTTACACTGCAAGCATCTGTATCAAGAAATGCTTGTATTAAACAACCACACTTTAAGACCAAAAAGAGCAACTTCTATGCACTTCAGAGCAACATTACAATTACTTTAGTTATTTCTACAAGCAGAACTAAAATTTCCTTAAGAAAATGTGATTTTAAGACTGCAGTTTTGCTTCTACTGTAAATATATCTAATACAACTTAGAAGTTGAACCTAGTCCATTTTACATCAAAAGACGTAAGTGGTAATTGAAAATGCTTAACAAATGCTTAACAACAGAGCTGAGAATCAGCAATGCCAATTTCATACAGTATTACTGTGACACTGTAACGTGACGGAAAACACAGCACTGGCAGTGGGGTAGCAAAGTCCCAGGCTGCAGTAAGTGAGGATAGGCTCAAGCGCAGCAGATGTGGATGCAGAAACAAAGGAAAAAGTCTGCTTACCCTTGGAAAGCCTCAGATGGGCAGGGATCTCCAGCAAGATGCTCTTGCCTCCACTGCCAACCCTTAAATGAGGGCTGGAAGAGGTGGATCCTGGCCCTTCCAGTCACTCAGGTACACTGCGTGCACCTGAGCTCCCCTGCCTTCCCACCAGGTGCTCCATCGCTGCTTCAGGCCATAACTTAGCACTTCTAAGTGCACAAATAGTAACAGCAGCACTTCACTTAGCACAAACAGTAACAAAATATGGCAAAGACTAATGCGGAAAGGGCTGCAGAGAATTTAAACTCCTAACGAGCCCACTGGTCAACGCAAACTTTAAGCCTGCTTCCTACCTGCAATTTCCAAGTGGTATTTTCTCTGGTTTTGGTCTGCAATTGAAGTAGTAAGTAAAACTTTTTGTTCAGGTGGAAAAAGCAACTCAAACCTGTAGCTCCTTTTCCTAGGCCAGTCACTACGAAACAGCCTCAGTGCTAAGTTCACTGTCACTTTTCCCATGACTCGACTTGTAAGAGATCTGAAACTAATGATAAGAGGACTGCATTAATAGGAAACCAAAAACAATATCATATTAAGAAGGTATGGCTGGCCATGTCACTCTAACACCACATCTCACACTGCATAGGCTGCATGTATATTCTTCATCACAACATTTTCAAAGAAAATAGTCTTTAATATTCTATTCCACTTCTTCCCAGAACACAACTGGGGATTGTGGCTCTGAACTCTTAAGTTCCAGTCAAGTTAATACAGATTTACTGTCCTTAGAATATTTTTAACATTCAAGAACGCTCATTTAATAAAAGCTCCTGTTGCTGTAGAGTTCACTGTACAAGTGTGAGAAACTATGAATGCAGCCAAGAAATTAATCATGGCTCCATTAGTTTACTTTCTCTAAATGCAACTAAGTATGCACTGCTGTCGCTGTAGGACATTATTTCTGCATGCTTTCAGTAGCTTCTTCCTACATACCTGCACACTCAAAAAATACATGAAACAGCACTGTCAGCTATTGTGCAGGATGTGAATGGACACTTCACAATAAATTTCAAATCCATGGAGAAAATAACCTTGTAGTTTGATTCCAGGATAACCCCATATCTTAGTATCAACTGTAGAAACATTAGTGCATGAAAGCATTCAATGTTAAAGCTTCTAGCAAGCTGTGACATTTTCTCCATAACCCAAATCCCCACGTGAGGAATCATTCTGCTTGTGAAGAGACCATAATTTTCCTTGAGACAAAGTGAGAGTACTGTTTGTCTCCAGGCAGTGACCACTGGTACATGTGAAAGTCAGATACAGTTCTCAAAATATTATTAGCAAGTAACTCACTGGAATAGGAAGTGCCACTATCAATGCTTTCAACCAAAACAATCAAATATTTTCTCTTAATTGTTGTGTCTAATAAACCTGGACATGTCAAACATATAATGATGTATATTTGTATATAAGCCCAAGTAATAAAGAAAAAAAGCAAATTTAGGACTGCCTAGAAACAAGATTTCAGTTCTATCTACACTATCATCCTGCCTCTGCCTTCCGCCTGCCTCACAGCCAATCCTGAGAAATTATCAACATCTTCCTATCACAACACGTCATAATACAGGACACAATCTGATCTTCACATCTGAAACTGAAGATCAGACTTCACAGCAAAAGGATTTTTCTCTCTATTTAAATGTTCTGAACTCATTACCATAACTGGTGAGAGAAAACAACAGAAGGGGAAAGAAAAACCACCCTGAAATGCTCACAGGAGAGTGATGTGAGCAACCTTCAGGAGAAATAAAGGCAAACAGGGAGAACAGACCCATTACAGGTGGAAATTGCTGCTTAGCTTAGAAACTTAACAGTGCACGTTACCAAGATAGGGGAGATCAGGATCTCCTGCATCCAGGAGAGGGTAAAGAACACAGGTGGAAGAAAACAAAAACACAGCAGTTAAATTATCAGAGGTGATTAAAAAAAAAAAAAGAAGGAAAAGCCTCTGCCCAAAAAGCTGCTTCTGTTTTTGTGTTCCTAGACACGTCATGCTCCAGCAGATCTTTCTGTATCTTTGACCTCATCAGAAGGGCTGCCCCACAGCCCACTGCCTTTAGTACTACCAGGTAACAACAGATGCTCAGACTGCTTCAGTTCTGCCAACTTCACCTAGAACAACTTGGCTGATCTCCTGGCACGTGGCAGTGCAGCACTCACCAGGCAGCAGTGCTATTCTGATTCAGGAGAAGATGCATCAGCAAGATGAAGACAGCTTTCTTCTCTCAACTACAGTCTTCAATAAATATTCCAAATCTGCCTCAGACTTTTTTTGCTGTTTTTGGACACCATGATTTGAAGTGTTTAATAGGCTTGTCTGATGACTGAGGTTTGCTACAGTTCTACCAAGCAGCAAATATAACAAATTATTGTTGTCACAGCCCTGTTAGTAAAATGGTGATTGTCATACACAAGTAGTTTGCAGACCTAAAGAAATAATCTGGAGGAAACTCCTGCAGTGTAAAAGAACCAAGAGAGCACCAGTGGACTATTGGTTTTCTGATTTTACACCTAACTACGCCACGAAAAAACCCTCGCACAACCAGCACACACACAACTGTTGCTGACTCTTAGCATTTAACTGAGGGTGATGTTTTCATTTAACAACACTGATAAAAAGCACCACTGTGAAATGGCAAGTAAAAAAAAGTTGTGGAATCCCTAAAATGTGTAAAGAAAAGCTGGTCTCTACTGCACACAAAATAATTCACAGGCGCGTAAGGACAACTATCTCTTGGGCACATTATTATAAATATAAATAAAACACCAGTTTTACCTTCAATGACCATGTTTGGTTGACCCTTCATCTCCTAATGCTGTCATTTATTCACACTATGAAGACTGACAAAACCTGAACTTTATGGTGATCTAAAACACAGTGTTACCAACTGCACTGTTGAGGACAGTATTGTGAGCACACGTGCAAAACAGACAAATTCAAAAGCAATATCTAAACTCTAACCCATTGTGAATTTGTGTTTATATACATCTGTATATATCAATCCTTTCTCAGTAATTAGCTCTGCAAGACCTGTGATTCATTGAACAGATAATTTTGAAACTGAATGACAGTAACATTTTCTTTAATTTCTGTACATTCTTATAAAAGTGGAACTGTTCTTACTCTCTCCTTTTCCCACTCCCCATTATTATCCCTCTGCTGCTTCAAAAGGTTCATCCTTTTGTTGCTCTTTTCCCCTTTCCTCCTCATCCTTTCTTTGCTGGTTCTTGGCCTTCTTGGTCCTTACCTCGCTCATTTTCCCTCTTCTCATCTTCCCTGCGCCAATTCATAGCGTCCACATTCTTTCGTCGTTCTCTCTCATCCTGTCTCCATCGCTTCTTGATATCTTTGTCCTTAACTTGCTCATTTTCTCTCCTCTTCTCATCATCCCTGTGCCATTTTATTGTTTCTGCATTTTTCTGTGGGTCCACGCTTCTTTTGAGATAGTCTTGTCGCCTCCTTCTCTTTTTTAACATATCTCTTTCCCTGGCACGAGCCTGCTTTTCTTTCTGGGAAAGAAAAGCTTTACGGGGCATCATGAGCTGCTGCTGTACCTGAAATAATATTGTATTCCATGGAATAATGTACTATAACATGCACTCGGTCAGGCACAACAACTCTCATTTGGAGCTGAGTATTTCAAAGCCAGGATAATTTACTACTTCTTCTCTTTCCTTTATAAGTCTCTGCTAGCTCTGTATTAGATAGTGCTAGGCAAGCTGCTACATTCAGCTCTGGGCACAAAACCCTAACTGGCACCTCAGCAGATGGTGCACATCCAACACAGAAAAGTCAACCCCCTAAAATCCTGAGCTGAAGCAGGATGCTTTCTTTCCCCTCCCTCTTACAACTCCTCCCACAGAGAGTTTTTAGCAGCCACTTGGCATTACAACATCCAATTGAGAGAACAGGCTGGCAGAAGAGAGTTGTGAAAGAAACCTGGTAATGTTCAAGCCTTAATCTCTTCTCTTGCTGGAGATCTACTCTTAATGAAACTTAAAGGTCCTTATTTATATTTTCAGATCTCCATCCATATAAAATTTGGTTTAAAGTGGCCAATGTTCTTGGCTGGGAGGAGCGAGAGGCCAGCAGGAGACAAGCCACAAGCTGAAGAACTACACAAGCTTTGTTTCCTTGGGAAACCTGGCCAAAACATTTAACTGCAGTTAGCGAAATAAGTCCTGACTCATCTACTCAAACTTTCTCTACGTGTGTCAAGTCTTGTTATTCACAAGACCAGAGGAAAAAAGAATGTACCTATTTACTTGAAGTTTCTACCAAAAACATGCCTGATGAGTTTTTTGTTTTGTTTTCTTAAGAGGTGTCAATTAAGACTGCCTTTTAACAAATCATTTTATTTTGGTCATTTCTCCATAGTCATCCAACACATTCACATCGTTAAATTTATTGATGTTAACATCTGCAATTTTGACATTATGGAAAACAAAACAGACCACAGAAAGAATTTTTACTATTACTACTATTCTTTAAAGACTCTTCCATGCACATTGAGCAACATTTCAGAAGTATTCCAAACTGCAGTTGTGGCCCAGGTTTGTTTGTTTTGGTTTCTGAATTTGTTTAGAAGAGAGTTTTGCAGAGGTATCTAATCAAAATGAAAACTGCAGAAAGGACAAAGTTACTAGATTAGAATACTTAAACAAAGCCTAAAAGAAAATGAAACAAATGTACTTTTAAAATTTAGCTACCTTATGGAAAGCACTTGTTCCCAGCATGCAATACTCCATCTTTTTCCTACAGAAAAAGCAATGTTTCAAACCCTTATTCTAAAATCCTGCTCCTTTTCCCTGGGTAATATATCCTCCTCCCCCCCTTCCCATCCCCCCCCGCCCCCAAACACTATTCTAGACCATAGACTTTGTTAGAAATATATCAAAATCCCACCATTTTCATTGTAATAATTCAAACTCTATTTTCTTAATATCCATACTACTAAAAGGGAAGGGCTGTAGCAGGGTGAAACACAGCATAATAAAAAAAACACATGCAGTTTGGTAACAAGTTAGTGCACAAAATTCAGATTATACTAAACCCTATTTCATTAAAAAGTACAGGATACCCCTCTACTAGACAGCCTGTTTTTAAGTATTAAGTAGTATTTAGTATTAATAATTATTAATAATAATGTTGTCATTAACATTTGAAAGCACTGAGAATCCAAGATTGACATCAGTGCCATCTTTACATCTTTGACATAGCTTTAACTTCTCTATCAGCTGTGTGCCAGTACCATATCACTGTTGTTTACTATAGCAAGCTAAACTTTTCTTATCTATCTTATCTTCAATTTTATCAGTAACTTGATTTTATTCCAATCATAACAACATGAATAAACTTTTAAATTCAGACATAGCTTCATGCAAATAATTTCCTCCCACCCCCCTCCAAGCAAGGTTTGACATTTACAATTTGCCATTAAAAAAAACACCCTTTGGGGACATAATTGTTGCATTTTCTTTCATTTGTTTGCGTTGGGTTTTTTTCCCCTGCTTTAGGCTTTATTTTTTCATTGTTTTTAACTATGATATTCTTCCCTCCCCTCCCATCATATCCCACTCTGATCGACCAATTTATAGACAAATGAGAGAAAATACCTCAAAAAAAGTTTTAGTTGAACGTCTGGAAGTAAACATTTAAAATGTGACTGAAATAAAAAATACCACGTTTCAAAGAGTAACTTAAAGGGGCAGCCAACTTGAACTCAGCACGGCTCCGACCCCCATGTCACAACTCGCGGGTTTCTCCCCGCTTTGTTTCAGCTCTTCTGGCAGATTTCCCACAGACAGAACTGTCTTTCACTTCTGCCCCCGGTGGTTTATTAAGACCAATCAAAAGATGGGGGAAATCTTTTCCACCAGGAAACCACTGAAGTGAAGCTGCCAGAGCAGTTGAGCTCAAAGCCCACAATTTCTCTGGAGGTCAAGTTGGTGTTCCTTTAAGTTCACAATGCCCAGAAGCAAACAGAACCATCTTTTCAACTATTTTTTGCCCGTACTTCTCCAAACAATAATCTTAACTCTACCCAATCTACTTAGTATATATTACGAGGCATTTACCTCCAAAATTAATGGTGCTTGGGCGTCTCAGACTCATTGGACAAGTTTCATGCAAAAGCCTTCAAAAATAATTCTCCTTCCAGAACGCCCACCAGCGATTATATTACACCTACTGTGTGAGGCCGAAGCCCGGACATAGAAGAAGGGTCATATCCTGCTGTACAAAACAAAGTGTTAAAGATAAGAGGTAAGAAACGTCATAAGGGCAATCTGACATTTATAACGTACATTTAATTGTCAAGAACTGATGATAAACCACGCATACGGTACCTGTACCGACACGGAGCTACCGCGGGGTGCACTCAGCAAGGTGAGGAGTGCTGCAGACGTCTGAGCGCGCCTGGGCCTTACACCCATTTTTAGGTGATGTTACCTGAGGAACAGTTTGGTACTCAGAGTTCAATTAAGTTGTCCAAGTCGGAAATCCAGCAGGATGCTGTGATGAACGCACCTATTCACACCTCATGTAACCTTCTGACTTACAGAGAATCTGAGCGCCCGGTACCAGCAGCACAGCCGCGATGCACACACTGACACCCCCACACAGCTCATTATTCCAGGGGGTTCCCATTCCAATACAGCCCCACCTTAAATTACAAGATGTGGGAAACCAAGCAGGTGAGGCGGCTGCCAGCTCCGACCCCAGCGAGACATCTTCCCCTGGGAAGGATTCAGATGAAAGTTTCAGTTCTATGGCAGCTGGCGGGAGGACGAGCAACAGCCTAGACGTCATGCTGCTCTGGGAAGACCTGACATCTCTTCAGCTCACATCTACAGGGCCTGACAATTCCAAGGGAGATGAGCAGGGAGGAGTGACAGTCAGGACGCAGGACAGGGAATGGTAAGCAAACCAAAAATGCCAGGTGCAGATATACCAGGGACAGGGGAGAAGTTGGGAGAACTAAAAGCTACCAAAAACATCCACAAGAAGGTAAATGCTGCAGCTGAACAGCCCTCCTCCTGCACCCAATGGCACGGCTGCCACTGGCTCACAATCAGCATTTCTTTTTCTTCTGTGGGACTCTTCTCCTTATCTTAGCATTTCTGGCCTACTTTTCAGAGGAGCTGTGCACCTGCATCTCCGCGGAGTGAAGGTAATGAGATTTACAGTTTAACAGCACATCTGAAATGGCAGACAACTAAGGGCTCGTTTTCAAGTCAGCTATAATATAGGATGGAGGCTGTTCTGTAACAGCACGGGATTTGCTCTCAAAGCTACAATTTAAACACAGAGCACCTCCACATCCCTGTCAGCTCAACCACCTACAGCACCGGGCTCCCGCCCACCGAACACGATGGTCTCCAGAGAACGTCTGTCCCAACTCCTCTCAACTTCAACTTGAGAACACAGTGTGCACAGCTGCTGTGTTGGAATAGCCAGCACGTCAGCAAGCACGTGCCTCCAACTCCCCTAATTCGTGCCTGTATCCAAAACAGGACCGGGCACATTAGGAAGATGGAAAGTTTACAGAAAGCTCAAATCAAATAAATCCTCTGTAAAAATCAACGCGGTGTTTTAAAACAATGATAACTGAAACTGCAGGAAATTAGTAGGCGTGTTTCAGTATCTAGTCAACGCACTGTAAGACCCCAGGACACAAAAACCCTGACTCCCCCTCACAGTCAAACACTTTATTTCTTCAACATCCCTCGGTCAAGACTTCCAAAGGATTTTAAAACCACTTCAGAAATTAAGTCAGTGTCAAAGACAAAGGACAGTTTGCACCACTTCTCTGGAAATCAGGTTTTAAAACAGAACAACTTAAAGCCTATGCAGATGTTCCTTCAGGACAGAAAAAGAAGTCCATCTAAAATGAAGTACTAAAATAAAAGCCAACCACACTTAAATTGCTTTGGAAGAAATTCTCTGGCTAATTACATGAACGTTCTGTTTCTGTGATTGCATGCCATCTTCAGCAAGAGCTTACAGAGCTGTTTTCTCTTTTCTTTTTCAGCTTACTGTTAGCATCAGTCACCAACCTGAAGACAGACAACTCCAACCTCCCATCACAGAGGAAAAACTTCTGTGGAGGACAGCTGCAGCGGGACACTCAGGGAGGCTGAGCTTTCTCCGTTCATCTTCTTTTTTTTAAAGGTTAAGAAAATATCTCCTGCAGTCTTGCAGACAGAAATCCTCTTAAGTCATTCACACACTTCTCATTCTTGCTTGATTTCTGGAATTTTCCACTGGTGCCAGAAGCTCCATCTGGTGGGTGTGTACACTAACTGCATAACTAAAAGGGAATTAACTATTTCCTTAGCAATTTCTGCATAGCAGTGTAAGTTTGTACATTGTGTAATTTCTCCGATGCAATGTAAAATACAAGACAGACAAATTCTGGCTGCTCCAGGAACCATAATCCCTTTTTTCTTCATGAACAACCCGTTACCTTGCACTCTACTGACAATTTCTGCTTGGTTTTCTTATTTTGATAACACAGGTTGATGGTTTTTAAAAATAAGCGTTAGCCAACTCAGAATATTTTCTGAAGAAAAAGCTTTTGAAAACACACACAAGAAAAGCAATTCTGGTGATCTCGACTGCATTCTCAAAAGCAGCTTTACATTGCATCCATTCTCTAGGGCATTCTATACTTCAGTGCATAGGTAATTTTTAATTAGAGGCACCAGCAGCTCAAGAAGTAGGCTTCCTCACCTACTGCCATCTTTAATATCTTTCATTGCTGTTCACAGTCTTCAAACATAAACATTTATATGCGTCCATATATGTGTAATGAAATCAATATGTAATACACATGCTCAGTACAATAGCCTTGTTAGTTTAGGGCTATTTCTTAAAGATTTGTTTGAAAGGCACTAAAGCCTGCCTACCTTACAGCAATTTGAAATTGAGACTGGAGGTCAATGAAGCACGAAGGATATTATCTGCCTACACCATGATATCCACACTTCAGCAGGCAGGAAAAAAAGGCCACATGAATATGCTTTACCAGTTCAAAATGTGATCTTCGTGTGGATTGTAGCTAAGCACGAACAACCCCATATCGAAAATTTTGGAAACAGAAGCATGTTTCATTTAGATTTTCAATCTAAAGCTCAAAAAAAAAAAGTAAAATGTTCAAAAATAAAGCATGCAATTAATATACACGTAATTTATTACTAGATTACACTGACTGTAAAACTACAATCAGAAATTACAAATGCTATTCCTCTCTCTATCATGCTTTCCTGACACCACCACCATGTCAGCAACAGGGCTCGTGCAGCAGCCACAGCACAGAACTGATTCAATGGCAGAGCAGTCTTCAGCCAGAGCGCTTCCTCCACCGCAGTGCTGCTGCTTACACAAGTGAAGCGGTAGGAAGCGTGGCTTACACCACCCCTTGCAGAGGCAGCACACAGATATATTTAAACCACTGCTGAAACTGCATCCCTTACAGTGCCCTACTGCAGAATGCATTGCTTGCATGCTGGTGGAAGTGGCAAAACAACAAAACACAAGAGAGCATACACACACTTTCCCAAGCTCATCTAAAACCCTGCCAAAACATGTTTTCTCAGACAGCGGATAGATTAGATACTGAAAGGATCTCACCAACTGTCTAGCATGAAAGCATTTAACATGTAAAAATAGACCGTGAAGTATGCTGATGCTAATTGTTCTTCCTTTGCCTTGCCACTTCACACACTATGCACAAACGCTGGCATTACACAATGGGGTAAAGTCTGTGAACAACAGCTAAAATCAGTCTTACCACTCCACGTTTCTTACCTCGTTCCCTTTCTGTCTAAGCATAGCTCCCAAGTGCTCCAGTCCCTGACTACATTCCAGCGTTAATCCACCTCTGCTACTGCTGTCTTCCGTCTGACTCGGGAACCTTCGATATTCATAGCAGCAGCAATGAGGAAACAAAACAAAACAGAAGGTCAGAAACACAATGAACTTTTTTAGGGAGAAAAAAGAAAAAGCATTTTAAGACAAATATTTTGCTGACTTTGATTTCAAGAGATATTTTGCCCCCGTACTGTTGCTGCTATGAATCTGCATCACTAACAATTCCTTTGGCCCAGATGCACCGCAAGCGGAGAACTACGAAATCCAGAGGCACATCAGCAATCAATACACAGGAGAGAAAAAAGGGGTGAAGGAAAGAATGGCTGAGGTGTGAAGGAGGGAGAAGGAGCTGGAGGCAGGGAAGGATCAGCAGCTGCTGATGCCAGGCCGGAGAGCATGCCAACCTACACAGACAGGACAGGGGAGGTAATGAATATCACTTTGGTGGACAGGCTGTTTGCAGTTACTCAAATTCTATTTCTTGCAAATTGTTTAACATGCTTCTTGAAAAATGGACTTTAAATCAAACATTTTGCCACCTGATCTGGTCAACCTAGAACCTGAAGGTGTGATTATTCAAGAGACAATCACACAGCTGTAGGACCCAACCACAAGAACCAGTTTTTGGTCAACCATCTTTAACGCCATCTTTAAAACAAACAAGAAAACCCAACCCTCCAAGGACAAAAACAGCAGTAAGCACAAGTGATTCACTACACAAAGTATGGAACTCGTTCCACTCTTATTTAAAGCCATCAACTGTCGTAACACTTTCAAAAGCACTCCTGGGTTATTTTGCAGTAAGAACGAGATGCTGAATTTGAGATCCATTTTGTCTTTCAACATCAGTTCTGAAGAATATGTATTCTTCTCTATGCAGGCACACAGCCCTCAAGTAGGTAAGTAAGAGCCATGCCCTCCTGGAAAGCATTCACATCTAGAACATGAAGTTGGTTCTTGTACCATATCCTGAAAGCCTCAAATGAGCAGCCAATCTGGCTAACCTGACTATCAAAGCAAGGGCATTTTTTCCCAAAACACATCATGTCATCAAAACAAACCTTCCACATACACACAAAAAGCCTCCTGTATATATATATATATATACACACACGCATATATATTTAAACTAAATTAACATAATTGGGATTCTTTTTTTTTGCTTCTAATGCATATATATGTTTATATTGCCTTATCCTCAGACCAATGCTGTCTATTCTCACCTCCATAGCTCACACTCCCTTATACTGTTAAGAAGTGTACAGTTGTACCAACATACTTATGTGAGCAGGACTGCCTCCACGTCAAGGATTGTAATGTGAAATTATGCTAACAAAATTCTATCTGGCATGAAGAGATGAAGAGCCTATCTTAGCCATCCAAAATGGTATAACGTTTGTTTAGCTGCAGCTGTTACACTTTTAGAAAAGCAGCAGGCTGGCATTTCAAAGAGCAAAATGAAAAAACAACGGTAAATGCAGCAGTTCTGAAATGCAAACTGGGCTGCACCCACAGACACAGCACAGCCCGTCCCTGCACAGCCCTGCAGGTGACAGCCCTCAGCCCTTGCCCCGCTCCACTGCCTTCACACTAAAGCTGTCCTCGCCACACCTGGCACTGCCCTGTCCACTCTCAACGTGCAAGTTCTGCATCTCAAAACAACTCCAAATACTAGAACAAAAATAACTTCCCACTTCTGAAAAAAAGTCAATAAAGTTCTCATCTAGCTCTCAGTGGTACCTGCAGCCACAAAATGCCTTTCCTCCCATCTTACCATCTGTGGTTGCATCTATCAGAGCAACTGCCACCGTAATGGCAAATTATGAAGAAGACATTTGCACTGTATGACTTTTGACTACCAACGTGATTCCAATACTGTCCTGTATCGCAGGAATACCGTTTTAAAGTTCAATATTTACTGTTTTTTTATGGAGGAGAAAAGCTGGGCTGTAAATGATCACCTATCGTTCCTTCTGCAGTGACAGAAGCACAGCTTACCTTACACACAAAAGGAGCACCAGCACTGCCCTAGGAATGCATGTGGCATCTCCTTCAAAGCAAGTGCAGAAACTGCGGAGCTCAGATTGTTAAGCACCCAACAACACTTTGCAGCACTGCCAAATGATTTCCTTGCTTAATTAAAATGCTGCTGTAATATACCACAGTGACATGCACCAATTCCGACAACGCTACTGGGCATCTTCTGACAACTGCTAGCTCCTATCCTACACACAGGAAAGGATCAGCTGTCCGTCCCACCCTGAGACACGCAGCCTTCCCAGATGCTGTCTGTGCAGCACACATCTCACCTGCAGGCACGCAGCTCCCAGCACAGCTGCCTGGCTCTGCTGCGCACACCTCAGCCTGCAGGCCGCTCTGCTAAGGGCCCATCCTGCGTGACCTCACTGAGCCACTTCCACACACAGCGACTTTCTCACTGCAGCAGTTCCACACAGCACTGCCAGATACAGGACAGTAACCTAACAGAGGTACGGCTTCATCCAACCTGCACACTGAGCCACGGCTTCGAGTTAAAGATAATGTTTGTTTCCCAATGAGGCAATACCAAAGATGTCTCAATTTGCAGCGATCCTACTGAGTTGTCTCCAAACATTTCATTACCAAAAAGTCTTTTTCTTCTTGAAGAAAAGAAAGAAGCTCCTTGAGAAGGAACAGCATTCATTTTAATAAAGGGCAGTTTACTATCAAGACAACAAAAACATTCAGCTTGGTGTTACTTTGGAGAACAAAGTGTTGGTTGCATTTCAGAAAGGACAGCTCTGTTCTGACCGAGGTTTACGTAGGAATGTACTGCAAACATCTTCAGCAACAGCTGTGTTACAGCCATCAACTCCAGCGCAGCTCTCGTTTGCTGTTGTGCCTTTTCAGCGCTGTAAGATTTCAATGCGTACAGCGGTCAGCCTGCTGACACCAGACTGCTCAGCAGCTGTCAGAGGAGCCGAGCTCCGGTTCTGCTCCGAAACCAACGAATCCCGTTTCTGAACAGGATGGTCCATCTCTGTCACACGGAAAGACGGCAGCCCGCACAGCTGCACAGCCCCACAGCTGCACGGGCTCCCAGGAGGTCCTGCGGGAGGTCTGCATCGGCTCTGCCACACCGGCAGGTAGGGATCACACCTCCGCTACCTCACGTGCACCTTTCACCTCCAACTGGGACTACAAAACAGCAGTGAAAACGCATGAAAACACAGCTAGTAAAAACAATCTGGAAAAGAGCACCAGCTCTTCTAGAAGGAATCCTGCACATCTACCGACCGGCACCAACAAACAAAGAACATCGCGATGGCAACAACGTCTGCCTTCCCCAGCAGAGCCGCGGCGCTCAGGACCACCCCGGAGCGCAGAACTTCCTACGGCCGCAGCCGCGCTCAGGAAGCCGCGCCTCTTCGCGGGGCCGCCGCCACCGACCCCGCCGGATCCCGCGCCAGCCGGGCATCCTCCGAAGCCCTCCGCGCGCTCGATCCCCTCCCGCCCCGCGACGCGTCGGGCCTCGCGCTGCAACCCCGCGCCGACATCCCGGGCCGGCGCGAATCGCGGCGCCCCGCACCGGGCGGCGGCACTCCGGGGCCGCAGCGCGGCCCTCCCTCCCCCGCCGCAGCCCTGCCCGGCGCGGAACGCGCCCCCTGCTGCCTCCCGCACTCATCTCCCGGGCGGGCTGCGGTGCATTTTGGGTGGGGGCTGGTATTTTTCTGCCACGGCCATCCAGCGGGAGCGACAACGCGGGTGTAACGCGGCGGGGAGGGGGGAGAGCAGAATGGGGAGAAAAAAAAAAAAAAAGAAAAAAGGAAAGGAACGAAAGGAGGGAGGCACCATCCGCGCCGCGAGCGCCGCACGGCGCGCTGCCCTCCCTTCCCGCCCGGGCTGCGACGCGCGGTGCCGGCACGCAGAGCCGCAGAGCCCCGCTGCCCGCCTTTGTCTGAGCGGCGGAACGCGGCCCGGCGCCGCTCCCCTTCCCCGCCCGCGCTGAGCCCGGCCCGGACCCGCATCGCCGCGCGCTGCCCCCGCCGGCCGGGAGCGCGGCGCCGCGCGGAGGGCGCCGGCGGCGTAACGGTCCCCGCGCCCGATGCGAGGGCCGGACCCCTCGGCGCCGCCGCTCTCCTCTTCCGAGCGGCCGGGGGGCGCGGAGGGCGGGGGCCGCCCGGGCCGGAGCGCGGCGCACACCTACCTGAGCGCGGCTCTCCGAGCGGCGGGGGCGGGCGCGGTCCCGGCACCTCCGGCGCGGGGCGAGGGGCGCGGAGCCGCCTCCCGGCGCCGCCCGGATCCCCGCGCGGGCGGAGCGGTGCGCAGCCGGCGGCGGCGCGGGGGAGACAAAGGGGGCTGGGAGGCGGCGGGGAGGAGGGGGCGGTGTGCGGAAGGGGACGCTACGGGGAGCGGCGGGGCGGCGGCGGCACTGGGCTCGGTCCCCGGGACGGGGGGTGCGGGGCCGCGGGGCGGGGGGGGGCTCCCTGCAGACAATACAGCCGGGTCCCTCCTGCCCAGAACCTGCCCTGGCCAAGATGGCGGCCGAGAAAGAGCGGAAGTGACGCGAGACTCTCATTAGCATACGGGACTCATTGTCCGGCGGGAGGGGACGGGGCCGCGGCCCGGTGGGGAGGGGTCCCGAGCCCCGCCGCGTTCCCGCCGGCTGAGCCCCCATCCCCGCCCCGGGGGCTCGCCCCGACCGCCGTGCGAAGGCTCGCGCGGCCCCGCCGAACCGGCTGGAGAGCGAGCGGGCGGGGGGGCGGGGGGGAGAAAGCGGAGGGCTCTCGCGAGAAGGACGGAGGCGGCCGGCGGCGGGATCTACCCCGGCCCCGCTAGGAGGCGCCGCGCCCTGCGGCTGGGGCCGGAGCGGGGGCTGGCGCCGCCCGGTTATTCCTCCGCCGCCGCCAGCCGGGACTACATCCCGTCCTGGGGCCGCCGCCGCCGTCGGGCGGGAGGCACGCGCCTGGTGAGCCACGCGCCTGGTGAGCCGCGCGCCCACGTGACCGCGCGCCGCGCACGTGACCTCGGGGCCGTCGGCGCTCCGTCTCGTGCGGCGCCTCAGGGCGCGGCCGGCCGTCCCGCCTCGCGCGTCGCCGCTCCCGAGCCTCGTCGGCACCGCCCGGGGCGGGAGACTTCGAGCGGGGCGAGGTCACCCGAGGTGTTAGGGCGGGAATCGAGAACGAGGCCAAGGAGGGCGGAGTTCGGCCTGTAGCCCGTCCTGCTCCGCGCCTTCAGGAGCGCGGCCTGACGCAGCCGTGGCGGGAGGTGGGGCGCGGCTGCAGCTCGCAGCCCAGCGACAGCTGAGGGAAGGCGAAGTTCCCGCTCGGCGGGAGCGACGTGTGACTTCGGAGCGGTGCCGGGCGTTACGCGGGTAGGAGAGGCACCGTGGCTCAGGCAGCATGAAGCATCAAATGACCCGTTCCCGCGTGGCTCGTATCCTGCAAGCTCCATCGCTGCGCTGATGGCAGTTCACATAAGTGGCTTTCGTGAAGATTTCGGTGACCTTTTATTTGTCACCTTAAGAATTTCTAGTTCGACAGCTTGGAAGCACACTGCTTGCAGCTCATACCTTCATTTCACCATATGCTCTCACTGTCTGCATCAGTGGCCGTAAGAATCAGAAATTGATGGAAAGTCTTGTTTTACAATAGAATGGATGTACACAAAACTTAGCTGCGTCAGCAAATTGTGACTTAACACAAGAAAGGCGGGTTTCTGGAGCCCTAGCACCAGAAAAACAAATCCCTGAAGTCTGAAAGATGAATTTCAGAAAACACAGAAATGCCGTGAGTGGAACAAAGTTCCATGGAATACAAAAATGAAATTAGAAATAGCAGTTAGATTTTATAGACGATTAAGGAGACAGACACCATGTGAGTTTGTGTGTGAATAGTTGGGTGTTCAGCAGGGGAAATCAAGAGCTTCTGGACATCTTTTCTCCACCTCAGTTCTGGTTGCAAGTGCATCAGACTGCCAGCGGAACTTTGTCTCTTGTGCCTGTTCCTCGCTGCTCACCAGAATAGCTTTGGGCTGGCAGCCTGCTGGCTGAAAGCCCTCTGACCACTTCCTCAAGAGCTGACAGCATCCAGGAATTTCCATCTGGAAAAAGCTTTCCAGCCATGTTTGATGATGGTACCCAGTCCAGAACTAGGGCCAAAAGCAAACTGTAGAGAAAGCAAACTGGAAAGGGTTGCAGAAACTGGAATTTGGTGCGAGAGGAATTAAGTTGCATATGGATGGAAAGCAAAGCACCGGAATGCAAAAATAGCTGCTCAGTGCACAAGACTGGTGATGTGGGCAGAGTTTCTTAAGGCAGAGAGAAGAGCAGGAGGGAAAAATAATGAAGCAGCAACAGCTTGAGCAAGTGGGAGCCGTTGCCTATTTTGGCATAAATCCTGTGAGGATCGGACTGAGAAGATTTTGAGGTGAGGATAGGACAATATCTGTTGTAAGAATCCTGAAGTGATGGGCAAGATCTTGCTCTCATTTAGTGAGAGTTTTCTGGATGATTTGCACAGTACCACCATTGTCAACATTTATCACGTTAAAAAGAAAGATAAGAGTAATACGAAGCTTGTATGAGAAGGTTGATTTGAAAGGTAAAATTCAAGCAGCAGGGAAGAAGGAGAAATAAGCCTTGAGTCCATTTTTCTGCTGTGTGTAAGTGAGGTGTACAGAATGAAATAAATTCATGATAATATTCTTAATATGCATTTTGTGTCATGGAAGTGGGTATTGTTTTTCACAACGGGCTCTGACAACCAGTAAAATCGTAGCATTGTAGGAGGCTAAACATTTAACACTTATCAGCAACACAATTAGCATTCTCAAGTTGAATAGGTATGACTGAAGGTGTGTTGTGCTCCTGTTCAGGACAAAACTGTGCCCATATTTACTGGGCACAGTAAATATTTACTAATACTGTGCCGTATTAGCTTAGCAGCAGCACTGTCTTTGCTTAAATGTAAACTAACTCAGCCAACTATCAATGGCTGTAAGCACCTAACGTAATTAATTATATAATAAATACAGTTAAGGTTAATCCTCAGCAGCACTAAGATCCCCAGACTCACAGGGATGGAGCCCTCCAGCTCCTTCATCATTTAAAACACTTCATCATCTGTCAGCATTCTTCCATGAAGACAACTTAGGCAAAAATCACCAGGAAGGAGCCAAATTCAGTCTGTATCGAGTTGAAAGTAGGGAAGAACTTTGCCTTCACACTGAGCACTCCATTCCCTCCCTCCCTTGTCTTTAAGGGAAAAAAAAAAAAAAAAAAACACAACAAAACCCTCATATTGAGAAGGTCTGTGATAAGAGACCTTCTCAATTGATAAGACTGATTTAGTTAGTTGGTAAGGATAACTAGGAAGGAACGTCTCTTAGACCAGTAAGAAATCTATCTGTCATAAACAACACTTAAATTTCATTTGGAAGCTGGTCAGTCAAATATACAGTCCTTTGGAGGTGATGTTCTGCCATGACAAACCACATTATTTTTGTGGATATAAGATTGCTACCTTCCATGTTGTCAACACTTTCAAAATGAATTCAGAATTCAGATTTTTAATGAAAGATGTAAGCTAAAAGTCTAATTGTACAATTAGACTAATAGATAATTAGACTTCTAATCTAAGTTCAAAATTTCAGTAATTTAGCATTCTCACGCAGCTTGTCTTTTACTTCTCCTGCATTCAAGCTCTAATACCAAGTAATAAAATTATTTTAACAGGATCAGCCCATCAAAAGTACCACCATATGCCTTCTTCGCAAGAGCAAGCAGAATGGAAAAATGGAGTAGAAATGAGAGCTCTCTGAACACATTTGAGTCACAACATGAACTTCACCAGGTACTTAGTAAATCTGGTTATTTGTGAATTGTTCTTGCATGGAAGTGGGGGGTGGAAGGCAGCTGGGCATTCTCTAGCAGCAACTAGGAGCTCAGTCAAGATCTTTCC